TGTGTGGGTGTGCGTATGTCTGTGCATGTGTGTATGTGTGTATGTGTGTATGTGTGTGTGGGTGCGGGTGTGGGTGTGGGTGTGGGTGTGTACATCTATGTATGTATGTGTGTGCGTGCGCGCGTGCGTGCGAGCGAGCGAGTGCGTGTGTGCGTGTGTGTGTGTGCGTGTGTGTGTGTGTGCGTGCGTGCGTGCATGCGTGATTGTGTGTGTTGTGTGGGTGCGGGTGTGGGTGTGGGTGTGGGTGTGTACATGTATGTATATATGTGTGTGTGCGCGCGTGCGTGCGAGCGAGCGAGTGCGTGCGTGCGTGTGTGTGTGTGTGTGCGTGTGTGTGTGTGCGTGCGTGCGTGCGTGCATGCGTGCGTGTGTGTGTGTGTGTGTGTGTGGGTGTGGGTGTGGGGTGTGGGGTCGGTTGGTGGTGTTGTGCGTGGTGCGTGTGCGTGCGCGTGCGCGTGCGCTGCGCGTGCGTAAGTGCGTGCCGCGGTGTGCGTGTGTGCGTGTGTGGGTGGGTGGGTGGGTGGGCAGGGGGGGCGGGGGGGGCGGGGGGGCGGGGGGGGGGGGCGGCGGGGGGGGCGGGGGGCAGGGGGGCGGGGGGGAGAGGGGTGGGTGTGGGTGTGGGTGTGGGTGGGTGGGGAAAGGGTGTGGTGTGGGTGTGCGTGTGGGTGTGGGTGTCGGTGTGGGTGTGGGGTGGGTGGGTGGGTGGGTGGGTGGGTGGGTGGGTGGGGGAGGGGGGGGGGGGGGCCTTTCGCTTCTTGCGAAGCACAAGTTTAGGAGCCCATGACGCATCGAGCCCAAGATGCGCTCACTTTGATCTCCACGTCCCTGCCTGCTTGGCCTTCCAGGCAGAAGACGTGCCTACATACGAGGTGCGGGCAAGGACGCTCCATGGATGATCCCGTCCCCAGCGCCCGCCCGCCCCCCCCCGCCGCCCTCTCTAGGGAAACAAACAATGACGTGAGCATGAAAACGCGGAGGTCCGCGCGGATTTCTCGGATCGGCGCTAGACCCCCCTCCCTGGCGCGCGGAGCGCGCCAGGGGCAGCTCCGGAGACGCAGCCAGGGGGTCCCAGCGCGAATCCGACGAATCCGCGCGGACCTCCGAGATTTTATGTTTATGTCATTCTGCGTACCCTTACTCTCGTCCCCACGGCCAAAGCCGGTGTCTAGAAGGCCCCAAATCAAAACTGGCCAAGAGGGCCCAAAGAGGCACCCAAGACGCTCGAGGAGGGCCTCGAGTCGCTGAAAGATCGCGCCTTGGAGAAATGATCCCCTGTCCCCAGCGCACGCCCGCTCCCCCCGCCCTCTCGCCCACACGGCCAAAAGCGGGTGTCTAGAAGGCCCCCAAAACTGGCCAAGAGGGCCCCAAGAGGCACCCTAAGACGCTCCATGAGGGCCTCGAGCAGCTGAAGGATCGCGCCACGACGCCCGAGGTGGCCCCAGGACGGCTCTAGGAGCCTCCAAGAGGCCCCCAAAAAGCCTCCCACGAGGGCCCCAAGAGACGAACATCGTCCCGTTCCCTTCGGACAACGAATATTTTTAGCAGATTCGCCTCTTGAGCCTTCAAAGCGTTCAAGACGGCCCAAGAGGCCCTCAAGATCGCCCCGAGACGGCCCAAGAGGCCCCGAAGAGCGCTCCAAGATGGCCCAAAAGAGTGCTCCAAGATGGCCCAAGAGGCGCCCCAGACAGCCCAAGAGGGCCGTCTTGACGGGCCCAAGAGAGGGCCCGGAGGGGGAAAACAAAAAGATACTTCAAGCCTTCGGCCCCAAGACGCCTCCCAGGAGGCCCCCAGAGGCCATCAAGAGGCCCCCAGAGGGCCCCCCAAAGACCCCAAGAGGCCCCTAAGAGGCCCCCGGGAAGCCCCCAAGAGGGCCAAAAAATTCTTCCAAGACGCCCCCCAGAAACCTCAAGATGCCTCCAAGACGCCCCCGCGAAGCCTCCAAATGGTTCGGAGACCCTGCCAGACCCAGTTCATGGTGGGTGTGCCGTGCTGAGTCTGCCGCCTCAGGCGTATGATGGACCTTGTGGGCCGTCGAGGGCTCTGGGGGCTCTCTCCTCCGGTTCTTTGAGGACCTCCTGCAGGCTTTTGAAACCACTGCTCGGAGCCTACTGGGAACCCCATTGAGGATTCTTGGGCCCTCTCGGACTTTCCGGGCAGATCGCGAGAGTCTGCGGGAGCTCTCTGGGGCCGTCGTGGCGCCTTCTGCGGCCGCCGCAGGCTCTCCGGGACAGTCTGGGAGACTCTGAGCAGCCGCCCTGCCTGTCTTGCCCCGCTGCTGCCTCGCCACGTCGCTTCCACAAGCGCGGTGGCGGATACGCGCGGCAGCGCCCCTGGATCATGTGTCCGCCGGCCCCCTTGTGGGGCCACCAGGCTGAAGGCCGAAGTGTGCTGCGCCCTGCAGCAGTTGCAGCTTCAAGTCTCCGGTGTTGCAGTCCTGCGCTCTGCTTCTTCCCATAAATTATTTAAGTTCGCGCGAGGGGAACACGTAAAAATAGATTGGATTCGCGCCCCCGGGACCAGAACCCTTCGTGAATTATCACATGCTCGCGTCCCCGAGGCCACAAACCTTTTGCAAATTAGCAAATTATTCCGTCCCCGAGGCAACAACCCCTTTCATGTCCCCGCAGCCGTAAACCTTCGCAAATTACGCCATGTTCGCATTGCCGAGGCCAGGAGTGCTCCATGGCACCCGAAGATGGTTCCAAGACAGCCTAAGAGGGCCCAAAGGGGCCCCAAAAGCGCTTCAAGAGGCCTCCCGAGACAGCCCCAACAGGCCAACATCGTAGATTTTACAAAGGTTGTTGAAGGATCTTCGCTCAAGAAGCACCCAAGAGCGCTCCAAGGCAGCCCAAGACGCCTCCAAGAGGGCCCAAAGAAGGCCCAAGAGGGCTCCAAGATGGCCCAAGAAGCGCTCAAGACGGCCCAAGAGGGGCCCAAGCAGGGGACCACGAACCGAACATTCGATATTTGTGCCCCGAGAAGCCCCCAGAAGGCCCCAAGAGGCCGCCACGAGGGCTCAAGAGGCCCCAAGACGCGCCCAAGACGCGCCCAAGATGCCTCCAAGAGGTCTCAAAAGATACCCCTGGAGGCCCCAAGAGGCCCGAAAGAGGCGCCCAAACCGCCTCCAAGAGGCCCACGAGAGGCTCCCCACGCCACCCCAACACATATACAAGAGGCCTCAGACCCACAACCCAGGCACTTTGGCGGGATGGGCCGAAGGCCACTAGGAAAACGCCAACGTCTCAATACGCGCTGATGATTCCTATCCGCCACCACATGATGTTCCCGGATGCGCCAAGGCAGCGCCGAGACGCACCGACGCGACTCTCAGATATCTCATTATGGTAGAGAGCGGGCCGGCGGCAGGGAGCGAGACCCTTGCGGAGATACGTCTCCATATACACGTATACGCAAAGAGTCGACAGTATACCGCTAGATTGCCACAGCGCTCTCGCGGGACAGCCGCCCTGCGTACAGGCAGCTGCCAGAGGCGTGGAGGAAAGATGTGTGCGTGCAAGGCGCCAAAGCGAGAGCACGGCTTTGATCCGTCCGTGCAGAAGGTTCCAGCCGAGACTTCAGCAAGGCTCTCCGTCCCTAGTGTCGTCAGAAGCTCCAGGGCTCATGGTCATGCAACTCACTGAACGCCTCACGCCAGATTCATGCTTTGGAAAGCTGCAGCCTCCGTATGTGTCTGTATGGAGTTTAAAAGTTTGCGGCCATCACGCTTGAAGCAGTCTGAGGCGAAAACTATTAGTTCGAAAACGTGCCGATAACCAGCGCAACTGCTGAAAGTTATAGCCATGTGTATCCATGTATGGTGACAGTGTGTGAGATGTCGAACGGGATCCACATGTTGACAAGATATGGCCCCACGCACCTGCCACAGCTGGAAACTCAGAAGACGAGCATGCATGGCGCGAATGCAACAATCGCAGCCTGAAACGAATGCGCGCGGCGCTTAAGCGCGTGAGCCATGTTTCGAAAACCAGCCACCCTACATGCATGCAACTGCCAGGACTGTGTAAAACAAGTGTGCGCGGCGCGACGGTGAGAGCCACAATTCGAACCGAGCCACCCTCCGTAGACGTTGGACACTTCACGTAGCTAGCATGATGAGCACGTACCGTAAGTCTCGGCGGCACAACCGCACGGTCCTACCAGCACGTCTAGTAGTGCGACGAGGCCGTACATAAAGGAAGACGGATGGAACAGAAGAGGAGGAGCAGAAGTTCGACGAGGGACGAAGATGAGGGGGAGAAAGGATAATCACGAGAAGGACGGGCAGCAGGAGGGGAAGGCGGGGGGCGGACGACGAGGAGCAGGAGGAGATGGAGCAGCAGGAGGCGCAGGAGGATGAGCAGCAGGAGGAACACGAGCGCAAATAGCAGAGTGCACACAGGAGGCATTGCAGCAGGAAGAGCAGGACAAAGACCAGGAGAAGAGAGGAGAAGGAGGAGGAGGAACAGGAGGAGCAGCAGCAGAAGCAACAACATGAGCAGCAGGTCGCGCTCGTGCCCCGCGATGGATAGGGCCGAGTGCGCTCAGCCTCCGCGGCCTGGCAGGCCGAAGAATAATCATGCCGAGGCTGAGCGCTGGCCCTCCCTCCGCCCTTCTCCCTCCCGCCCCCCCACTCTGCCTGCACCAGCCCCTCCCCCTCCTCTCCCTCTGGGCGAGGGCCCGAAGAGGGAGGCCCACTCGCCCCTGGAGGCGAATCGGGAGGGGAGGGGGGCGATTCAGGAAGGGCGCGGGAGAGCGCGACGGCAGGGGAGGAGAGAGGTAGAGTGCAGGAGATGGAGAGACGGTGGGGGGAGAGGGAGCGGGGGCGGGAGGGCAGTGGCTGCCGGAAAGAAGGTGGGGCGGGAGGAGGAGGAGGAGGAGGAGGAGGAGGCGGAAGAGGAGGAGGAGGAGGAGGAGGAGGCGGAGGAGGAGAAGGAGGAGGAGGAGGAGAAGAAGAAGGCGGAGGAGGAATAGGAGGAGGAGGTGGTGGAGGAGGAGGTGGTGGAGGAGGTGGTGGAGGAGGTGGTGGAGAAGGAGGTGGTGGAGGAGCGGGTGGTGGGAGAGAATGACGCCTGCCTCGGGCCTCGACTCCCGCGGCTTGCCCCATCGGCAGCCGGCCCCACCGCAGGAGGGGGCGCGGCCCCTGCGTGCGCCGCCGGGGCCGTGGCCCCCCCCCGCCATTCGGCGGGACGGCGCCTCCGGCCTGGGCGGCGCTCCCCCTGGCAGGACGGCACGCCAGTCCTGGCGCCGAGGCGGCGGGGCGGCGCGCCAGCTCTGGCCGAGGTCTCCCAGGCTCGGGTGCAAACCAGCGCAGGGCTTGTCGGGGGGCGTCGGCTGGGCCACCTCGCCGGTCCTGGCCGGGCCCGCCCTGGGCCCGGGGCCGGTGCGCAGCACGCCCTGCGCGCTCGGCCAGAGAGAGACGCGTGCACCGACCCTGGGCCCGGAGCGGCCAGCCCGGGATCGGTGAGAGGCCCCCGAGCATGGTGCCCGCGGGAGCCCAGACGAGCAGGAGCAGGGGAGGTCGGCACCACCACGACCTCCGCGGGGGGGGGGGCCAGGGGAGTTTGCTCCCTGTCGCGCGGCATCCCTCGTCTGCGGCCTCCCGCTCGAGACGTCTCCAGCCTCCGGCTCGGGGAAGCATCGAGAGAGGCCCGCTGGCGGGTGGCCCGCCGATGGGTGGCCCGCTGGTGGGTGGCCCGCCGGCGGGTGGTGGTGGTGCCGCTCTGGGAGCCCTGGCGGCCAGCGGCTCCTCCAGCTCTACGTCGGGTCCTGCGGCGCTCTGGCCGACCTGGCCCGCTTCGCCGCGGGCGGGAAGGCCTCCGCGAACAGCTCCATGAGCAGGCTCGGGTAGCTCTTGCTCATGCGCGGGAACGCCTGTCTGCTTCTCCCCCGCGGCGGCGACGGCGGCCACGCCGGCGTCGGCCACGGCGACGGCCGCCACGGAGACCGCGGCGACGGTGACGACCACGGCGTCGGCGACGGCGGCGACGATGTCGGCCCTCCCCCCGCGAGTGCAATGCCACGACAACCCCTAACAGGCGCACCTGACCCACCTCCTTTTTCCACACTTGCACAAAAAATGAATACGTCTCTCCCCTCCCCACCAGAAGCTGATGAAAAAGCAGCCCACCCACCTCCGCGTGTTGTTTTTTACACGTACCGAAATCAAGTACGTTTACGCTTCCCCTCCGCTGAATGTCTTGAACGCATAATGTGCACCGACTGTGTTTTTTTGTGCGCTTTCCAATCTGGATGTTGTCGGCCCTTCAAGAACAGCGATCTCGCTTCATCGATCGCCGTAAACCAATTGAGCCCTTAAAACGGTCACACCCACAAATCTGCCCAAACGAACACTCCCAACGACCCTTACGAGAGCGAGGGGGGAACGCGGGAGGGTCACTAGCTAACCGCGCGGGTCACCGGTGAGTGGGCAGCTCTAGCAGGCGCAGACCGCACCCAGACGATCCACTTACCCTCCAAGGGACCCGGTGCCATGCCATGGCATGCACTGCGGCGTTGTGGCGTGTGCTGCTCTCCGATACCATGCTTTGCGTGTCAATGCTTTGTAATGCAGCGGTTCACCACGCAATGCCATGCCATGCTCTGACATGCTACTCTCTGCCGCGCTCTTCTACGCCATGCTACGCCGTGCTCTACCATGCATCGCGTACCCTCTCGGGATCACTGCGCTGCTCGGCATCTGACTGCGGCGCGAGTAGATAGGAACTCTACGCTATGGTAAGGGAGGGGAGCGAGGGGTTGGACGTGAGATATGACGCGAGCGCACCCGGCTTGTCGACTCCCCCTCGCCCCCTCCCTCCTCCCCCACCTCCCCGCTCCCCCCTCGAGGAGGGGGATTATGCGCGGAACCGCCTCCGTGGTCTGGATCTGTGCCATGCGCGCCGGGTCGCTGCAGATGTAGTCCTTGATGTGGTCCTCGGCAGGCTCTGAATCTGCGCACACACTTTTTTTGGTCGGCGGGTCGGGAGCGGGACTATTCTGGTTAAGAGCTAGGCGGGGCGCGCGAAGCACTGATTGGGGAGACAGGGCGCGGGCGGGCGGGGCCTCAGGCGGCCGGAGGGTGCGGAGTGCAGGCGGTGCCGAAGAGCTTGCACAGGACACCGGATCTGCGCACACACCCGCCCCGAGAAAGCGCGGGCTGGCCTCAGCAGCTCCCATGGGAGCTGCTGAGGCCAGCCCGCACGGGGCGGTCTCGGCCTCGGCACCACCATCCCCAGGGTGCGGAGCTGTCCATATGGGGCCGCCGGCGGAGGAGGTGTCAGGGTGCCAAGATCGCCCCGTGCTGCCCCTCCAGGCTTGCCTCGGGGCCTGCCCCAAAGCGCAGCTCCAGGCCTCGCCGGTGGAGACCACCCTGGGCGCTACCCGGAAAGCCTCTGGAGATGCCACCCCGGACTGCCTCCGGACGGTCCGGGGGCGCAGAGGCAGGCCCTGCCGGGCGGTGTCCTTCAGCCCGGGTATCGCCAGCTGCTCGGCCATGATGAGCCGCTCCACGGCAGACTCCTCCGTCAGGCTGACGGCGAGCTGCGCGGTGCAGCAGTCCAACAGGGACCGGACCTCGCACGCGCGCGCGCGCCGCGGCGAGCAAGCCCCACAGAGCGAGGAGCAGGAAGGGAAGGGGCCGGGGGGCCGGGACCTCCGACGTCATGACTCCTTTCATGCGGGAACGCTTCAAAACGCTGGAGGTCTGGGGTGGGAGGAGGAGGAGGAGGAGGAGGGGGAGAAAGACAACACATCGCGGGCTGGGCCTCGTATCGGTGCGCCAGGGCGAGCAGATGGCACAGCGCATTGGAATCCTCCATCAGCTCCGGGTCCAGTTCGTTGGTATAGAGAAACCTCACGAAGGAGACGGCGACTGCGTGGTCCACACCCTCCAGGTTGACCCTTGGGGTCTCGGGGGAAAGAGCCCAGACCTCTGGCGACTCCAAAGATACGCACGCCAGATGCTTTGGTATTGTCGTCGACCAGAAGCAATGTCTGTGACCGGGGAATCACAAAAGGAACGACTCGTGATGAAAAGATGGTCCCGAGGAAAAGGTCCAGGGACCACCAGAAAGCATCGAGTGGTCGGAGGTGAAGGGATCATAAAGAATTCCAGGTGATGACAGAAACAAGAGGAAGATGTGAGAAAGTGGAAAAAGGACGGGGACGGATTCTTGGTGCCACCCTACGCTCGGAGTGCAGGCGGTGCGGCACCTGTGACCCGCGCGGCGACCCGTACGTGTGGTGCGAAGAAACAGCGCTACATCTTTCGATGTGTGGTATGCGCGAGGCCTGCAGGATTTTCCTGATGAGTACTAGGGCGAAATAAACTGTTGCTGACCAGCCCGGAACATATCCATATCCCTATGCTGGGCATCTCCTCATCACGATGCCAATCTGAAGGCTTCCCTTTTTTTGTTGAGGGCGCATCCCTAAGATTGTCATCGCTTTTTGGCGTGTCAATCTTAAGGATAGGGATAAGTTCGAGGCTGGTAAGGAAGGGCAGCACGGGACGGTGGGAGTTCGATGGCGCGCTGCCACCGCTTGTGGCCCCTGGTACTCGAGAGCGGCGGCCCGGGGAGCAGGAGAGGCACGGAACGACGAGGGGAGGCAGGGGGGGGCGAAGAGGAGGAGGGAGGAAGGGAGGGAGGAGAGGGGAGGGGAGGGGAGGAAGGGGAGGAACGAGAGAAACGCGAGGTGAGGGCGGGGGGAGCAAGGACGGGTCCGAGGGAGGAGACGCGGAAGAAGGGAAAGCAGAGGAGGGAGGGGGAGGATTGGAAGGCGGAGAAGGAAAGAGGGTGGAAGGGCGAAGAAGGGAGAACGGGAGAGGAGGACGTGAAAGCAACCCTAAATCTTCTCGGAAACCCCGACAACCGTTCAGCCCCCGCTCCACGCCCGCCTCCTCCTACTTCCCCCCCGCTCTCCATGTTGAGCCCGGGGGGCGGTCACCCTATGGTGAACCGGGCGGTTCCTGGGGCGAGCGCCCCCAGAGTCGACGGCTGGCTGAAGATGAGAAATGCTCCTCCTCCTGTCCTCCTCCTCCTCCTCCTCCTCTCCTCTCTCCTCCTCCTCCCTCCTCCCTCCTCCCTCCTCCTCCTCTCCTCCCCCTCCTCCTCCGCCTCCTCCTCCTACTCGTCCTCCTCCTCCTCCTCCTCCTCCTCTACCCCCTCCTCCGCCTCCTCCTCCTCCCCCTCCTCCTCCCCCCTCTTCCCGTATTCCGAATTTCTCGCGCTGGCGGAGGAGCCGGGTGTTCGAGGCCAACAGCATGCTGTTGTCCGAGGCCAGCAGCATGCGGCTGAAGACCGGGGACCGCGCCGCCATCACGATGCGATGGGCGCGCACCACGTCTCCACCCTGAAGGAGGAGGAGGAAGAGAAGGAGGAGGAGGAAGAGGGAGGAGGAGAAGGAGGAGGAGTATATGAGGACCGGCCCCGATGACCAGTGGAGCAACAGGGCTAAATGGTGTGAAGCGGAGGCGGGGACAAGGGCGGGGGGAGAGAGGCTGGGCGGCGCCTGACGGCGACCCCCTTGCCCAGGATGGTCGCCGCGCCGCGGGCCGCGGGCGCCGCGCTCGCCGCTCTCTCACCCCTCAACCCTCTCTCCCTCCGCTCTTTCCGCTGCTTCCCCCACGCTCTACTACCCGGCAGGAGACCTTTGCTGATGCGGGAAACGTTATGAGCCCCTGCCTTCGAGAGCCGACCTGAACACTGCGAGGCCAACCCCCTGAGAGCATCAATGGAGTAGCAACCGCACACAAGACACCACAACACCTGCCCGTTTGGCCAAAACGCAATGCAATGAGACCCGTGCACATCACGGGGACGGAAACAAGCCGTACTCGCGGGTCTGAAGACTGCAGCACCGCTCCAAGACATGGGAAAGCAGGGCGCGCCAAAAAGCTGGTTATCTCTCGACTCGCGGACCGACAGCCACAACTGGAACACTGATCGGCATCATCAGCAATCTGGGGGCACGTGCGCTGAGTGGACAAGGAGGCAAGGCGGAGCTTGTCAGCCGCCGAGGTCTTGACACGCAACTTGGGAGGACGGGGAGGCCGCTTGCCTTTCCGAACAATCACATTTCGACGGGCCTGAACTTTATCAGTGATGCCGTCTGCCCAACCCACAGACGCACGAACAGCACGCGGGAGCTGGACCGACGCAGACAAGCCCTCGGCAATCGAGTCAGCAAAGGCATTGTCCATGTCGTGGCAAGGATTGAACCGAGCTCTCACGGCCTCCTGCAAATCCCAGCGGCTGTGGACTTGACGGGCCAATGCGCCCCTGGAACAACGAAGCCTAGCAACTCCATCCCACAGATCTCCATGGACCCTGATCTGGGAAGGGCACGCGCTAAGAACTCCGGCCGCACCCCTGAAGACGCAAGCGAAACCCGTAACACATCCAACCCAAGATCCCTCAGGCGAGAACTCCAAAAATCCAACTAACGCCCAGAACTCTTCCCCGTTGACCCTTTGGTTGCCAGAGGTGCCTCCTCCAGACGCAAGAGCTACGCTGGCAGCTCCAACTGCGCTCGGGGCGGACTCCAGGCTGCGGTTAAACACCGCGACGCCCCACGACTCCCCCCTGAGCCTCTTGCCCCTAGTGAACCCACCCCCGCTAGCACCCCCTGCCCCCCAGATGCGACCCCCACCAAGCATGGGGAAGGCACCCGAAGAGATCTCGAGAGGCTGGTCGAGAGGCTCGGGGGCGCGAGTCCAGCGGGCGGGAGCGAGGCCGCGAAGTCACACAATAGGGTAGATTTCAGGTTCAAAGATAGCACGGCGTGTGAAAGCTTCCGACAGCTCACAAAACTCCGAGTTGAGCGGACATTGCCAAAACCTGCGCACGTCCGTCTCCGGGGCTAGACCGCAACGCGGGCGCATCTCACCCCGCGAACCTCCAGCCGAAACAATCCTACAGCGCGCCCGAGTAGCACCCTGCAGCACAGCCCCCAGGATTCCGGCGCGTTTACCCTCGGCCCCATCCAGCCCCGCTGCGGAACGAGGCAGCAACGGACAAAGACTGAGCCGAAATCGAATTCGAAACTTCTTGACGGAAGATGTCCGCCATGTGGGCTTAAGACACCCCCCCAGACGACCCCCAACTCCACGGCCCGCACAATTTCCATCCCAACCCCAACATCGTAGCAACCACAGCCGAGATCGTCCCTCGGACGTCGTGCCATCTGCGCGCTGGGCCTAAAGCTTGAATTCGGTTGACGGCGTCTGTCCAACACCTGCGCGCGCGGCCCGGGGAGCCCTGCCGGGCCCCCCGCAACGATTTGAAACAACGAATCATTATTTATTCTTGTATTTCTTGGAGGAGAAAAAAACAAATAATATATATACATGTATATATATATATATATATATATATATATATCGAAACCAAAAAAAACGCGGGACCCTTTGGGCCCCACGCCGACAGCAAGAGGCGCAGCGGGGCATCTACCGACCAGGCCCCTGGAGAAAGCACCGGCAAGGGCCCTTGGCCACTGAGCGAGGACAGTCGGGGATGCCCCGAAAACCTCCCAAGCGTGGGAGGCCTGGGAGGCTCCCGTTAAGATGAGCCGCGGCCCAACCTTGCGCGGCGCTGGCCAACCAATGGACGCGGCGCGCGCGACGCCTAGCCTGGACAACCCTCCTCGCGCGCCTGGGCCTGGCCCGTTCGCGCCCCGCTTCCGCGCCCAATGCCGAGGTCGGCAGTGACAGACGCAGCCTCGGCTCTGACACCGCGCGCGGCAAGGCCTGCCTGAATCTCTCGAGCCACCGAAAGCTCGGACGCAATGACTGCGGATGGGTCAGCAAGCCTCAAAAACTCCCGATCACATTGGGCAGCAAAGGTAGCGCCTGCGACAGCGAGCTCCGCAACAACGCCACGGCGACTGCCTGCGGCCCCCTGCGTCGCATCGCCAAACCACGTGCGAGGGCCGACGAGGCTGCTGCCGTTGGCTGACTGCTGGCATATCTGGAACATCTGGCATTTGGCGAAATCAGGGGCCCTCCTCGCCCCCGCGACAAGACCCCCCTTCGGGGTCATGGAGGGGCGCAGGCGCCTCCGTCTCGCAACAGCCTGGGCCCCGCGCGGAGGAGGGCATCGAGAGCCAAAGATATCGCTGGGAAATCGAGCTCGATCGCGCGAGCATCAACTCGCCCCCAACGCATCGCGTCGAAACAAGCCTCGAAATCCAACAATTAGAAGCCGAACAAAAATACGGAAGAAGCGACGAGAGCGCCGCTTCGCAGGCGTAGGCTCTCAGCAGCGCCTCCCGCAGAGCGCCGCCGCCTCGCGCCGCGGCGCCCGCTCGGCCCATGCCTCCGCAGGGCGAGACCTCGAGCGGCCCCGCAGTCGGCCCGGCCAAGTGATAAGCCCGATCGCGCGGTCCTTGCGCGCGTCGGGTTTCTTCAACAACACAAGGATTGCCGCGAGAAGCTGCCGCTGCCGCGCAGCCCGATGCTCAACCGGATGAAAGAGACGCAGCAGCGGACGGCGCCCACTCTGAGGCTGCCACCAGACGCTCCTCTGCGCGATGCCGCTGGCGCCCGCGGCGCGGCCTGGGGCGCCATCTCTAGGTCGTCCAGGGCCAACGGCGGCATGTCCCCATGGCTCGCAAGCTCACGCGCCCGACGCAAGACCTTTCGAGCTCGCGCTTCGTCGAACCCTTCCGGTGACCACGGGCGCCCCCACGTAGCCCTCTTGGCCAGCGTGAAGGATGCCGCGTCGCCCCTGCCCCTGCGCCCGTCGTAGACCTCGTTGGCATCGGCCATGGGCCCTTCGCGCGACGGCGCACGGCCGCCGTGCCCTGCGCCGCGCGCTGGCGCGCCCAGTCTCGAAAGGCGCGCGAGCGATGGCGACCCACTGCCCGCTGCGCTACCCACGCAGAAGCTCGGGCCGACGCTGCCGCGAGCTGCATGAACTCCGCCGACGCCCCGCCCATGGCACGGGGGGTCCTGATCCACCTGGCCCTTCGCCCCTCGGGTAGCGGCACCAACTGAGCGACTGGTATCCCGCCTGCCAACTCCACCAACCGCGCGCGAATGCGTCTGCCCCTCGGCTTGTCATGCAGATGGGCAGGAAGGTCGGGCAACTCTGCGCAAAAAATCGCCGCGGTAGACCACCGTCGAGCGCTCTCGTCGGCGACCGCAACCCAAGGCTTCTGAGCTCGCAATCGCTGAAGCGTGGGTGCCTGCAGCGTAGCTCTACCGAAATATTGCCGTCTCCCCCGAGGTGGAATCTTGTGCAGCTTTGAATAATGGCGCCCCATGTTGCAAACCCAACGCGCCATGGACTCACCCAGCCACTGAGCCTCGTCGGATGCACACCGACTTGCTACAGAGAACTCAAAAACTCTGGTGGAAACGGCGTGGAACGCAAACCTTCCTGGAGTGGAACCCAAAAACCACTCCACGGTGTCAGGGTTCCATTCCCGCCGGCCGCTGGATATCAATGTATAAGTAACTGCCATGGTCCGAAACGACGCCCTCCTCCACCTGAGCTTCCAGATCGGCGGGTGCATCGGCACCCATATCAGTCTCATCTGCCGCGTCAGACTCTGGTTCCCCGATGGCAAACTTCTCGCGGGGGGCCCGCTGAGCCTGCGCCTTGGCATTGGCCATCGATCGCCTTGCCGTGGGGATCGGGGTCTCGCTTTGGCCCGGGCAGATGATCGAAAGCCCTAGGCCTCTGCAGCGCCCACCCCAGAGCGAGGACCACATCGAAGTCCAACATGATGCCCGATCCCCATCGCGGCATTTCTGCTCCCTCCACTGCCGCGCAGTCCGCCTCGACGCACTTGGCAGGCGGCGAGAAGTCCAGGCCTCGCTGATCAAGGCGCTCCAATTGCCTCAGACCAACTTGCTCATGCGGAGAGGATGCCACATCTCTCAATGCATCTCTTCCTGACCCCCACAGTGATGCCCCCCGCCCTGGAGCATGCCGAAGTAGCGCGGGCGGCCGACAAATCTCCAACGGACTCTGCGTTCTTCCAATCAGAGAGAATATCGTTGGAATCTGAAGGGAAACGATGCGTCTCAGGAATGGTACTGATATCTGCCTGCACGGCGGCGCTGGGCAAGGGACTTCCAGGCTAGACCCAACCCCCCGAGGATGCGAACGTACGATGACCTGGTGGAGCCTCCGTCGACTGGGGGCCCATCGCTGCCCCCCTGGGCCGCGCGCCCTCCGCCGCGCCCGCGCGGGGCAGAACCGCGGTTGCCCCGGCCGTCTGGCCCGCTCCCCGGCGCGCCCGATCCAGCGGCGGCCCCTCCGAGCGGGGCCCCAGCCGTCGTCGCGGAACGCGGCTCGCGCTCGTGGCCGGGGGGGGGGGGGCGCGCCGCTGGGTGGGATCCTGCTGCTGGGGTAAGGGCATCTCCAACCTGCCGTCGCGATGCTGCCTCTCCATAGACCGTTCCACTGAACAGGTCACTGCTGAGGCCTCCGCAGCGGTCGATCTGGCACTGGCACTCGGTGGAGCGGGACCGACCCCTCGACCTTCATCATGACATGGTCCACCGAAGTCGAGAGGGCCGCGCAGGGTAAGGGCTCGACCGCTCCGCCGCCTCCAGGCGGGCACAATCCAACGTGGCCTTGATTTCCTCCTCCACCAACTCGGCAGCGACGGCGCCCATCTTCAGCTTCTCAACAGCGCCCGCACTGCCGCCACAGCTTGGCGCCGACGGCGCCGCGGGCGCCTGGGCTGGGGCCCGGGTTGGGGCTCGAGGAAGCGGCCCCCTGCCCGCCACCTCCTTGGCTCTCAGGCGGGGCCTCAGGCGCACGGGATGCTGGCGCCTCCACCTGCGATCCCCCCCCCAGCGCCAGGAGGTGGCGTGGTCTTCTCCCCCTGGGTGTTCCTCTCTCGAAGCGCCGCCAACGAGTCGCGGTGCCCCTTGAACTTCTCCTTAGGATTGCCGAAAGATGCCTTCATGGCGACGTACAGCGCCTTCTTGACAGCAACCTCACGTCGATCCACTTCCTCGATATCTGCCTGGGTCATGGCTCCGTCTGAGTCGTCGAAGTCGGCTCCCAAATTGAACGAACACATGGACTCGGCAAGGCCCGCGGACGTGAGCATCGCGCCCAAGTCGATGGTGGGAGCCCCAACAAGCGCAACCCCAGGCTCGGCCGCCTCATTGGGCAGCATGGCCTTGAAGAGGGTGGCCGTCTCCTGCTCCGCCTCGGCCAGTGCATTGGCCGCATCCTGGAGCACTCCCATATTATTCTCCATGTCCGCCGAAAGCTTGACCTGAGCCTTCTGCGCCTTGTCAAAGGCTGCTTGCGCACGCTGCACCTTTTGCCGAAAATCCCGTGACCATCTGACTGCTGTGCGGATTAGCCTGACGAGCGGCTTCCACTGCTGAGGCCTGCAGCACCGCCTGGGCCGCCTTGGCCGACTCATAATCAGGTTGGGCCTTGATCAATGCATGGAGCTGGGCCGAAACGTCAGGCGCACTCCCGCCGACACCATTGCCGTTGCCCGAACCTTCGGTTTCCCTCGAAATCTGACTTTCCTTGACAAAAGGCATGTTGGAAAAAACTGGCCCACACAAGCACGCGTTGCGATGCAACGACAGCTTAGAGGTCCAACCCCACCTCTTGCACATAGCCGAGCTGCAACGAACCTTGGTATCTCCGTGATCACCCACCTGAGGCTGTGGCGGTGGAGGTGGCGGTGGGGGCCTCCCCGCCCCCCACGACCCCCTCTGCGGTACCATCGGCCGCGTCGGCGGCACGATACCTCCGTACTGTGGCCCTGGAACGCGCGGCTGGAGAGCAAGCCATGGATCATGCTGGCGTATTTCCTGCTGCTTCCTCCTCTGGCGAGCTTTACGTCCAATTGCTTTTCTACCAGCTACTCTTAAGTCGGGCTGATCCCCCTACAGGGGGAGTTTGGGCGAGAAATCATAAATTTCCAAAAATATTCCAAAATGGTCGAAAACTGCTATAAAAAAACGCCCGTACTATTTTTTTCTATTTGGGGATATTCCTCCTGTAAAGGGACACAACTGAAGACTACTCGTGCCCTAGATCCTGGGCCCCGAATTGCGGACTCCAGCCGATGCCTCGTGAAGGTCGTGGGTGGTCCCTGGAAGCCCCCCCGCGCGCCGGCGCCGAGGGCAGGCGGGGCCAAAGCGGCTGGAGGAGGAGGTGGAGGAGGAGAAGGAGGAAGAGGAGGAGGAGGAAGAGGAGGGGGGGGCGGAAGGAGGAGGGGTAGGGGGAAGAAGGAGGGGGAGGAGGAGGAGGAGGAGGAGGAGGTGAGGAAGGAGGGGGAGGGAGAAAGAGGCGGGGGGAGGAGGGGGAGGAGGCAGAGGATGAAGGGATACGACGGGGAAGGAAGTGGAGAGGGGAATTGGAGAAGAGGAGGAGGACGGAGGAAGGCGTGAAGGGAAGAGGAGATATGAGAATAGATGAAGAAGAAGGGGACGGAGGAGGACCAGTGCAAACCAAAGACTCATCAACGATGTTGCACGAAACCCTCCCTCCACATGCACTCTTCGAAAGCCCCTACAAGAATTCAATACCACTGCGGAAAGGGCCCCGTTGGAAGACACCCGTGAACAAATACAGGACCTTGCCAGGACACCACTCTTGAGATCTCAACGCCGCGAATACGCGTTACTGTTGCGTCCTGCCGGTCCGGGGTCGCGCAAGAACGCCGCTCCTGGGACTTCAGAACCGCGAATCCACGTAACTGCTGCGCCATGACAACCCTGCATGGCGCCAAGCACTGTTCGTGGGACGTGGACCATCAGAGCCACTGAGACTGCTGTAAAAACTCTTAAGACGAATGTGCTCGGCGCTTGGCCGAGAGCCGTACTTTCAGAACAAGGACCGCCCTCCGTTGCGCGAAGCTCCTGCACAAACTCTTAGCAACGAGCGTGCGCGGCGCCAGGGCGAGGGCCACATGTTGAGAGCCGCGCGCCCTCGATGCGTGAAGCCCTGGCAAGCTCTTGGGACGAGTGTGCGCGGCGCTGGATCGAGGACCACATCTTGAAAACCACCCGCCCTCCATACACGAAGCTCCTGCAAACTCTCAGGACGAGGGGGCGCGGCGCGGATGCGAGAACAGCGTGTTGAAAACCGCCCGCCCTCGGCCCGTGAAGCTCCTGCAAGCTGCAAACACTCGTACGACGAATGTGCGCGGCGCGAATGCGAAAAAAAAAAAAACGATGGGTTCGGCCTTGGAGGGGGATCCTGCGCCCTACTATGTATGGTGCCGGGAGGGCCAGGCGGACAGCGACAACGACGATGAAGGCGACAAGTACGAGGGGGAGAAGGAAGAGGACGACGACGACGGGGGGGCGGAGGGCCACCACCCCCACCAGTCTTGTCGGGCCAAGCCAACAGCACGGGAAGAAGGGAAAACGCACTGGAGTCAAATTGGAGCCATACTAAGGCAATCTTAGGGTCGCCTAGGGCTCACGGCGTCACATTGCGGCAATATCGAGGCAATCTCGAGGTCGTCTCGGGGGCGGCGTTCGTGTGTCACGGAATATCCCTTCGAGGCGACATCATGTTCTGGCGGCGTTGTTGGTGGTGTCGTTGTTTGTTGCTTGTGGCTTGTTGCCGCCATTTTTGAACATTATTTTCGAATTCCCCCTCCAGTGGCCAGTGCATAGTTTCAAGTGTTCCTCCCAAGGCTCGCGCCCAGTTTTATTATTGCTATTATATAACAATAATGTCACTAATCATAATCAGACTCATAATCAGAATCATGATAATAACAATAATAATGATGATGCTAATAATAAAGAATACGAGTAATAATGATAATATTCATACAACTAATCATAATAATAATATAATGTGTTACTAACTTGGGCCCGTGGCCTCCGAGTTACAACAACCAACGGTTCCAGCCTGATGCTGCCTCGATTGACAAATGGCGCTCCCGCGCGGGACTTCCTCACAATGCGTGCAGGAATCGCGGTCTCGCGTGGGACTCCCTCGTAATTTATCCAAACGCCGCGCCCTCGAGATTCAGGAATCACGTTCTCGCTGTGGATGTATCGCGAGCTACCTGGGAATCGCGGTATCGCTGGAGACTTCCTCGAGATCCATTCAGGACGCACGCTTCAGCAACCCGCCTGCTCGACCTGGTCGCCTGGGCCCACTTTCCCGATCCGCCCGTTGAGGTCTACCCACCCGATTTACCCGTTTGGTTTTGCCACGCGTTTTCTGCTCTTAGCCCCCCATCTGCTACTCCCTCTCATGTTCCATCCTCCCCCCTCCCCCTCCCTCTTCTTTCCATCCGTCCTCTCATCCCCTGCCTTAGGAGCTGCACGAAACACACTGGCAGTTAAGAAGGATACACCCCCAAGGGGGTACGATCGATGACGAAGACGGCGGGTATCAAGGGTTTGGGACACACGTGTTCAATTGCACGCGAGCACACAAGAGCGAATAGTCTTGAAATGATGCTGATGCTGTGGAACCTTCAATATTTCACAATGATTATTGCTGGACACCCTAAAGGCGTTTTGGGGCTCTCGCTGAAGCGCCGGCTGCATTTCCTTTGAAAATGAAGCTGACGCTCAAGCGCTTCGGGGTTCCACCCAAACCGGACCCCCAACGACAACAACGCTCCAGCTCGATACTTCCTTCTTCTTTGTTCCACAGAACCAAAGCTCTTGCTCGCCTCCCAACGCTGGCTTTCCAACAACACCGGCGCTCTGGTTCGGCACTTCCCCTCCTGTCACTTAGGACCAGCGCTCCCGCCTGGGCACCGCAGACCCCCTACAAACAACGACGCCCCCGCTCGATACTGCCTCAAGTCTCACTCAGGACGGGCGCTCTTGCTCGCCGCCAAAGACGGGCCCTCCATTAAAGCCAGCGCTCCCGCTCTATACTTCCCTGCTTCTTACATAGGACCGGCGCCACTCTGCTCGCCGCCGAAAGCTGGCCCTCCAACGAAACCAGCACTCCCGCTCAACACTTGTTCAATGTCTGCTGAGGGTGGGCGCTCTCACCTCGGCGCCGCAGACGGCCCCTCCCACACAAACACGACGCTCCCGCTCGAGATCTCGCTCGCTCTTGCAGGAGGACTGGCGCTCTTGCCCGCCGCCGAACGGACCCTCCATCGAAACCAAGGCTCCCGCTCGATATTTCTTGGATTTTTCAGTCATCGAGACTATTTCTCAATATTTCTTCAATTCCTTGGATATTTCTTGGATATTTCTTGGATACTTCTCGATACTTCTTCAATTTTCTATTCATCAAGACCGGCACCAGTTTGCTCGCCGCCGACGGCCGGCCCTTCCGCAGAACCAGCTCTCAGGCACTGTACCTTCCCTGTTTGTTGCCCCGCGGAGGCGGTCGCGCCCTGGCGCCGCAGACCACCCACCCTACACCAACAACGCTCCCGCTCGATAGATCCACGCTCTTTTGATTGGTTGTGCGGAGGGCGGCTTGGAGGTGCGAAAGGGCCACTGCAGCCACGATCGATCTCTCCCTCCCGATCTCCAAGACCCGCGCTGCGCTGGTGAACCGGCCGTGCACCTACTCGACCGCCCCAAGATCTGCAACGAGGCCCGACACACGCACGACAAGGCTGTGCAAGCATGGACTGAGGCATGACGACCCTCATGGCCGCTGGCCCCGCGACGTCTCGTTCTTTATTTCCGATCGTGCTGGTCAGGACGATGTTCTGCCAGATCGAGTCGCTGTTCTCGGCGGCGAGCCCAGGGGGTAAGTGGAGGGGCGGGCTGTCTCAGACGGCTTGGAAGTCCCCCTGCCCGCTGAGAAGTTGTCTGACCCGTCCCCGAAGGCACAGAAAGCCTCTCAGAAGGTCGGAGCGTTTCTGAGAAGTCCCCTCGCCTTCTGAGAGGCCTTCGCACTTCCCCCCCCCTCGCTCGCCTCCGACGTTCAGAGCCTCCTCCACATAAACAGATTCTGTTGGCGTCGTGGCCACGCGCTCGGCGGCGCGGCGCAGCGCAGAAGTCACGCGGAGAGCGCGCGGACCGGGCCAGCTCACGCAGCCCGGAGAAGTTGGATCGACCCATCGGGGAGCGACAGCAACACTCGCGAGGGGGCAGTCGCGAGGGGAACGCGGGAAGGGGAAGGAGGGGATAGAAAAAGAAAAAACAGCATAAACTGAAACTTTTGGCGCTCCGCGCGGATTTCTTGGATCTGCGCTGGGCCCCCCTGCCTGGCGCGCGGAGCGCGCCAGGGGGCGGCGCCGGAGGCGCCGCCAGGGAGGCCCAGGCGCAGGCCGAAGAAGGCCGCACGCAGCGCCAAAAGTGAACGTTTATGCGTTGTTTTTCTTCGAGGGTGGACGGGGGAAACGACAGAGGCACGAGGAGGGAGCAGTACGCCAGTGACGGCCGAGGCCAGGAAGACGTGGGGCGGTGGGAAGGCTGCATCGGCAGGCGGCCATGATGAGGTAGCAAGGCAGCGTGAGGGAAACCGATGCTGACATGCGGCCGTCGGAGGGAATCAGCAAGGACAGGGAGGGCAGCGGCCGTGGACGCACATACACACACACAAACACAGACATACACATACAGCACACACACACAACACACACACACACGCAAACGCACGCGGACGCGCCCGTGCACGCGCGCACGCGCACGCGCTTGCGCACGAGCACGCGCACACGCACACGCACACGCGAACGCACACGCACACCAACACCCACACCCACACCCACACCCACACCCACACCCACACACACACTCACATTCACACACACACACACACACTCACACTCACACACACTCATATATATATATATACGTATATATATATACCATAAACATACGTGTAGGCATATCAAACATGCTGGACGCCTGCATCGCCATCACCTGGAAACACTCCTTGATGGCTGCTTCCAAATGCCCGATCTGCCAGCCTGATGATTCCGACAGTCACGGGCACCGCGCCATCCGGATGGGACGGGGTGGGTCCTCGTCATCATGTTCGGGGATCGTGCGGGGGAAGGCCTCTGGACCATGCTGCTCCCACACCAACGGGTTCCGCCACAACCCTTCGAAACCGATGGAGACCGGCGCATGCGGCTCCAGTGGTGCTGCTACCCTGGCCCCAGCTCGGTGGTGCAATCCGGCCACCAACCGAGGACACACGAAGTGATCGTGCCCGTGGACCCAGGCAAGTCGCCAGGCCCGTCGAAAGAGCTGCCGCCGCAGCGCCCTCCGGGAGGCCACTGCCCAGGATGTCCTCGGGCGAGACGCTCCAGGCGCCCCCCCCCATAGGACGGAGGGGCAGAGCAGAGGCCGAGCCTGGAGGGCGGTGGCGGGGAAGCGGGCGAAGGATCCCCTCGTTCTCACAGCGTGGTGCCCATGCTGTGGAGGAGGCAGACCGAGCCGACTGTGATGAGGGACCCTCTACCTACATGCAGCTGCCTCTGTATGACCAGGTGCTGCCGTGTGGCAGCTTGGCCCCCTATCGTCGGAGAAGTCGTGCTTCCAGCCGCTCCTCCTACTGCGTGGGCGTGGTCCGTTTGCCTCAGCGGGAGCCTCCTCTGTACCACTTGTGGGCGGACTGCACCAAGTCGTCGTTCATGAATGCGGTCTCCTGGAACAGTATTACGCTGGGAAGCTTCTTCTTCTGCTGCCACCATCGCAAGACCGCCTGCGTCGAGCCCCAAGTGTTGCCGTTGATCGTAGCCACCTTGAGCGGAGTACTCTGTATGGTCCTGTATGACCACTGGCAAGAGCTCAGGGAGATGGATGAGTTGGCCGCTTCCAGCTCCTCGCTCTGGCCCCAGGGGCCTCCACAACTTGAAGGTCCTCCGGCTCCTCGCCCATCGGCTCTTCATATCGTCTTCGTCCATGCAATCGCACATGTCCAGCTCTTCGTAGTTGGGGCAAGTATCCTTCCGTACGTCACCTGTTGGAGTCGACGGGCTGCTTGGGCAGACGATCTGTCCCGCTTGCTGCCCACGTGGCCATGCAACTCCTCCTCCGCCAGGTCTGGGTCCACCATGCGCATGTTGTGGAACCATCTGTTGTATACCTGTCTCGCCCTTGCCCTATTGCATTACGCCATGCTGCAATAATCTCTGGCAAGCCTACGACGAACTTCCCCCTCCAAGATGACGCGCTCCGTCATCACCTCCTGCACCGATCGGCAGCAACTATTCAGAGACGGGTACCTGGCGACATGCGGGGTGCACCATTCGTTCAGGTGATCCTTCTCCCATATTCGAAGTACAACAAGAGGTCGGGATACATGAGGAGGAGGAGGAGGAGCAGGAGGAGGAGCAGGAGGAGGAGCAGGAGGAGGAGCTGGACGAGGCCCTCCCCCTCGAGACGGAGAACAGGAGGAAGTCCCCCCCCCCGTCCGCCCCCCCTCCTCTTCCCCCTCCCCCCCACCACCACCCCTCCACCTCCGTCCTCGATCCTCCTCGATCCAGGGGGGCCTCGCCGAGACTGCCGTGGACCTCCACGTCCGCCCCCTGCCCGCCCGCGAGGAGCGCCGCGAGGTCGTCGGACAGCCCGTGGCGGGGCCCCGAGCCGCCAGGACCGCCGCTGTCCGCCCTTCGCCCGCGATGCGCGCGGGAGAAAAAGAAGAGAGGGGGGGAGTAGAAGGGCGCCAAGCAAGGGGTCTGCCAAAAGCCACTGGGGGGGGGGGGGGCATGGCAAGATGGGCGGCGCGCGCACAAAGGGGGGGGGGAGGGGGGGGGGAAAGGCTTCTCAGAAGCAGGGGCGCTTTCTCAGAAGGCGGCGGCGCCCTGCCCCTGCAGAGAAGAGGCTCGCCGCGCCTTCTCAGGAGCAGGGGTGCCTTCCGAGAAGCCTCCCCCCCTCGCCCCACCCCCCCCCTGCGCGTGGCTGACAAGAGGTTGTCTGTCCTTCTCTTGCACGGCTGTGCTCTGGAGTCCGACGCCCCTGATTTTCGTCGTCGTTCGTTCGCTCGCTCGTCGCCCTCCCCCCCCGGGGCCCCCTGCCCCTGCCTTCTCCTGATGTTCACGATTTGGCCCCAGGGGAACACCAAGATGGCCCCAAGGAGGAGAACACTTGTCGCGTTGGGAGGCAGGGGCTGGCGGGAGAAAGAGCACGAGCAATAGCAACCGGATGCAATGCACGATGCCTTCGGCCGCCTACGGGCAAGGACATCCGCATTTCTCCCCACCCCGTCCTCCCAACCCGATCACTGTCTTCCCGACCCGAGAACCTCCTCCCCCCTCCTCACCTCGCCCAGCCCTCGCCCCCCCCCGTCGTGCAGGAGCCAGGGCCGGCGGCGTGCAACTGGTGCTCTCCGGTAGCGGTCGCCACCCAGGAGGAGGGGGAGGAGGAGAGGGAGGAGGCGGAGGAGGAGGAGGAGGAGGAGGAGCGGCGGCGGCGGCGGCGGCGGAGGAGGAGGAGGAGGAGGGAGGAGGAGGCGATGAAGGAGGAGGAGGAGGAGGAGGAGGAGGAGGCGAGGAGGAAGGAGGAGGAGAGGAGAGGGAGGAGGAGGAGGAGAGGAGGAGGGAGGAGGGAGGAGGAGGAGGAGGAGAGGGGAGGAGAGGAGGAGAGGCGAGGGAGAAGGAGAGGAGGAGGAGGAAGAGGAGAAAAGGAGAGGAGGAGAAGATGGAGAGGAGGAGGAGGAGGAGAGGAGGAGGAGGAGAGGAGGAGGAGGAGGAGGAGGAGGAGGAGAGGAGGGGGGGCCACGCTTGGGCGGGGTGGGGCACGTGGGGGCGGGAGCGCGCTGCGACCGCCACAGCTTGCGCGCGAGCATCAGCACGTAGGGAGGGTCCTGGCCCCTCCCCCTGAACGGTCCTTACCGTTGCCCGGGGTCACCTCCCGGTCGTTCCGCCCCTCTAGAGGCCTCCCACATGGGGTCGGAATAATTAGATGGGGTCGGAGGATCGCGCCGCATCGCCGATACATCGGCGATGCACCAGCGATGCATCGGTGATGCACCAGCGATGCATCGTCGACGTCGGCGATGCGTCGGCGACGTCGACCTGAAGCAAATCGGGCCCAACATCGAGCCGCATCGGCGATGCATCGGCGATGCATCGGCGATGCATCGGCGATGCGGCGCGATCCTCAGACCCAATCTCCTCCGACCTCATCTGGAAGGCCTAGAGTGTTTAGCCTGGGTAACGACTCTTACGCGCGAGGGGATATAAATAGAAGAAGAAACGGCATAAAAATAAACTTTCGACGATCCGCGCGGATTCTTGGATCCGTGCCGGACCCCCCCTCCTCCCTGGCGCGCTCCGCGCGCCAGGGGCGGCGCGGCAGGCGCCGCCGAGGGGGGCTCCAGCGCAGATGCAAGAAATCCGCGCGGACCGTCGAAAGTGTATGTTCATGCCTTTTCTCTTCGTCGAAGAAAAAATATCTCCAGGGGGGGGGGCACGGCAACAGAAGAAGCAGCAAGGGCAGCACGAGCACAAGCTCCCGGAGCTCTCCGCTCGGATCGTCGAAAGTGTATGTTTATGCCTTCTTTCTTCGTCGAAAAAAACATCTCCAGGGGGGGGGGCACGGCAACAGAAGAAGCAGCACGAGCAGCAAGCTCCCGGAGCTCTCCGCGCGGGCTCCGCGGCTGGGTGTGCTGGGGCCCTCCCCCCTCCCTGGCGGTGGCGCGCGGAGCGCGCCCGGGGCGGCGCTGCAGGCGACGGTAAGGATGGACAAGGCAACTACTCGCAGGCGCGCCGAGCAGCGGCGCGGGGCGACGCGAGCCCGAGCGTTGGGCGCGAGGCGCCGCACAGGCCGCCCTCCTTGGGAGGGGCGCCGCGCACGCTCGGCTGGGTGGGTGCCCCGTCCCGCTCGGCGCGCTCCACGACTCGCAGATGGCCTGGATCCACCCTGAGGAATGCACGATGCGTCGCGTCGAGGCACACACGTGGCTCGTGCAGCTGGCCTCCTCCTTCTCCTCCTCCTCCTTCTCCTCCTCCTTCTTCTCCTCCTCTGCCTCCTCCTCCTCCCTTTCCTCCTCCTCCTCCTTCTCCTCCTCCTCCTCCTCCTCGCCCACCGCCTCCTCCTCCCCGCCGAAGACGAATCTCTGAGATCCGGCGGATATGGCGGTTTCCACGACTCGCAGGGCAACTACTCGCAAATGGCCCGGACCCGCCATAGGGGAATGCACGAAACGTCGCGTCGAGCCGCACATGCGTGTGTTTTTCTGTGCGGACGCCTGCGAGCAGGCACTCTGCGAGGAGCGGAACGCGCTCGATGAAGTTCGGGGGGTCCATCGCCGATCCTTTTGGTGACCCAAAAGGGGGTCCAGCTGAAAGGGGGTGGTGCAATAGATTTCGGGCAATTGTTTTGCAAATATATTGCGCCAGAGAATTGTATTGCATTGTATTGGAAGTATTGCATTGCTCGCGAAAGTGCAGCAATACACCTGTGCCCCGGAATGTATTGTACGCCCCAAATGTAAACGCAGCCCCACAAATCTATTGCACCAACTCTATTGCACCACCCCCTGTCGCTGGACCCCCTATTCGGTCAACCCGAGATCCGAGAAGTCCACACGGAGCTCCGTCTCTCCACCGCTTCGAGGCATCAGGAGGGTCGGCGGCTCGGCTCGTGCAGCTGGCCTTCCCTGCGCCAGAGGCGGCCAGGCCTCGAGAAAAGGGCACGGCGGCGGGGCCCCAGGACCAGCGGCACGCAGCGGACCCTCCTCCTCCTCCTCCTCCTCCTCCTCCTCCTCCTCCTCCTCCTCCTCCTCCTCCTCTTCTGTTTGCTATTATTCCTCTTCTTCCACCTCCTCTTCCTTCTGCTCCTCCTCCTCCTCCGCCTCCTCCTTCTCCTCCTCCTCCTTCTTCTCCTCCTCTGCCTCCTCCTCCTCCTCGCCCACCGCCTCCTCCTCCCCGCCGAGGACGAATCTCTGAGATCCCGCGGCTACGGTGGAAGACGTCTCGGGCTCCGCGGTCCTCTCAGAGCGCTCTGGAACGGATGGATCCTCGCCCTGGCCCCCTCCGACCTCTCCCTTTGGCGCATCGCCGACCTTCCGGGGTGGACCACGACGCGCTGGGTGCGCGCCGAGACCAGCGCCTTGACCTGCCAGTGTTGAGCAGGGACCGACCGTCCCGGCATTCCTAGAGTCATACCACGAAATGTTCTTAGAACCCCAAAAATGTTCAAAGAACCAAAACAATGTTTTTTAGAACATGAAGCCCGATGTGTTAAAACAAGACAATCCCAGCCAGAAATGTTCTGAGAACATGTCGTGGGAGCCACAAAAGGTTCTTAACACATTGTCTGGTGGGGCTATAGGCGAGCCGGGACGCTTCGCCACTGCTTGGCAGTGGTCTCGCCCGGATCCGCGGTGGCCCCGACCGACCCCGACCGCGACCTCCCCCTCGGAGGCGCGGAACGTCGCCCGCCGATCGCGGAGGGCCAGACCGGTGCGGGCCGCGATCGGCGGGCGACGAAGGATCCACAGCAAGGGGGCGGGGAGGAGGAGGGCAGTATTTTCTTGGAGGAGAGGGAGGAGGAGGAGGAGGAGGAGGAGGAGGAGGAGGAGGAGGAGGAGAAGATTTTCTTGGAGAAGAGGGAGGAGGAGGAGGAGGAGGAGGAGGAGGAGGAGGAGGGCAGATTTTCTTGGAGAAGAGGGAGGAGGAGGCGAGAGGGAGAGATCGCACGCCCGAACATTGTCCAACTCGTGCCAGGGAGCCCGCAGGCAACCCTGCCGCAGGACCGTCATGGCCCGTTGCCTCCCGAGTGAGACCTGGAGGAAGCCAGATGGCGACGGATACGAATTGCCTATGGAAAGAATCTGGCCGCTGATGCATACATTGTGTCATACCCCCCATCGCCTGGCCCAAAGAGCCACTGCCGTAAATCCAGCACAACATGATGGGAACGTGGAGGGAGAGAAAGGAGGAGGAGGCGGAGGAAAGAAAGGAGGAGGAGGAGGGGGAGGAGGAGGAGGAGGAGGATGGGGAGGAGGACGAGGAGAAAGAGGAGGAGGGGCTTCTCATGGCACTCGACGACGCGCTGCGCGCAACTGCCTCGGGCTGTTGGAGATGGTGATCTCCCTGGCCGAGTTAGTGCGGCCGGTGGCCCCACCCTTCCCAGCGTGGAAGGCCCGTGCGGGTGGGGGCCCGGCGCTCCTGCACGAACTTCCCGCTGGAGAGGAAAAGCAGGAGGAGGAGGGGGAGGAGGAGGAGGAGGAGGAGGAGGAGGAGGAGGAAGGAGGGGGGGAGGGAGGAGGGAGGAAGGGGGGAAGGAGAGGAGGTAAGGAGGTGGGGAGGAAGGGGAGAGAGGAGGAGGAGGAGGAAGGGAGGAGGGGAGGAGGAGGAGGAGGAGGAGGAAGGAGGAGAGGAGGAGGGAGAGGGAGGAAGGAGGAGGGGGAGGGGGGGATGCACGAGAGGGTAAAAGGAGAATTTTGTCAGAAGGGGAAAGCAAACAGACACGCAGAGGGGGAGAAGGGGAAGCAACAGAGGAGAGGGGGAGGGGGAGAAAGGGGGCAGAGGAGTAGGCTGAGGAGAGAGGAGGAGAGAGGAGAAGAGGAGGAGGAGGAAAGAGGAGCGACTGGAGGAAAGAGGAGGAGAGCGGAGGAAAGAGGAGGAGGAAGAGTCGGAGGAGGAATGGCACTGGCCGAAAGAAAACGCTAGGATAACAGCAACGGAAGGCAAGCCACCGCCCCGGTCGCCCGCAACGCTTTTACCCAAAACGGCACTTCAGCCACCGCTCGAAACTCAAATCCACCTCCCGGGGAACGAGTGTTCAACAAAGCCGCCGCAAAACGCAACAGAAAAACACGAAACCCGGATCTACAAAGGTCACGTTGAATCAGCTGTTGCAGAACCTGGTTTTACAAAGTGCGCAAGATACCTTACACTAAACTCAACGCGGACGAAAAGAAACATAACAAAGAAATCAAAAGAAAACGGTCCACCCTCGAGAGGGCAATGCGACAGTCATCTCACCGGGTCGCTCACGCCGTCGTTGCAGCATTATTGGACCAAGTGCTTCCAGACGGTGAACATACCCTCGTCGAGTTGCATCTTGTACATCAGCTCGTCCCGTTCGAAACAAATCTCAATGCGGACCAAAAGCTCGTGGGGCCCAAGCGGCTCAGCGACAAGCCCGACACTACTGGTCACAATTGGCTCGCACATCATATTCGAAGCCGCTTCGTAGGTGGTCACACGACTGGGTTCGAACAGATTGCACACGATATCCCCGGTATGGCAAGGCACGGCCTGTGCCACCGCTGCGATGGCAGCATCTTCCACGGAGTGAGTGAAGCCGATTTCGTCACACATGAAGGCGAAGATGCTCACCTCCGTCTGGACAGCGGAGTCGGGACGCTCGGCATGCGTGGTGGGAGGCGGGTCCTCGGCGCGGAGGTCGAAATGCGTGCGCTGCACGATGTTGGTGATGCTCGGCGCGGCAAGGAGCGTGGCGCCATTGCAAGCAGGTGCGCTCTCGACCCTCAAAACAATCCGGCCGTGAGTCGCGCGCAGCTCTGCGCCGACACCGCACCGTCGGGCCCGACGGGACAGGACACGCGAGAGGACACACAAGACCCTTCCGAGGGCCGCATCGCCACAGGAGTGTGGGAAGCATGGGACGCGAGGCGCGGGACGCGAGGGTACCCTTAAGTCGGGCCTGTCCCCCTACAGGGGGGTTTTCGACGAAATGATTAAGCATACCCCAAAAATACCCCAAAAAGGTAACACATAAAAAACTATCAAAAAAGTCCCCAGACTATTTTTTGATTATTGTTTACCTATTTTTTATTTTTGGTCGAATATCCCCCTGTAAGGGGGACAGGCCCGACTTCCGGGTACCCTTGGCATGGCGGGGTCGACCTGCTCATCTGGGCCGACCGTGCGGCACCTTTGCCTACGTTTATGTCGGGCGTGTCCCCCTACAGGGGGAGCTCCGACGAAAAATATAACATACCCCAAAAATACCCCCAAAAGGTCAAAAAAATACTCAAAAAATAGTCCCCTGACTATTTTCGGACTAGTTTTTTATTATTTTGGGTGTCTTTTTAATTTTTCGTCGAAAATCCCCCTGTTGGGGGACAGGCCCGACTTAAGCCTGCGTGCCCGAACGCCTCGCAGGGCTGCGCGCGTGGCCGGCTGCCGGCAGCCGGCGGCGCCACGGCCTCGGCGAGCGCAGCCTCGGCCGGGGAGCGGCCCCGGCGAGGGGCACGTTGCTCACCGTCGGCCACTGCGTCGGTGCGCATCCCGCAGGTCGAAGGCGAAGGAGGAGGAGGAGGAGGAGGAGGAGGAGGGGGAGGGGGAGGAGAGGGGGAGGAGGGGGAGGAGGGAGGAGGAGGAGGAGAGGAGGAGGAGGAGGAGGAGGAGGAGAGGAGGAGGAGGAGGGAGTGAGGAGGAGGAGGAGCTCATCGTCCAGCTGTTGAGACGGGTCGTGAGCGCACGCACGGCTCGGAGGTCGAAGGACAGCGCAAGCCAAAGTCTGGGTTCGAACCTCGTGCGCCAGCCTGCGAGGCGTCGCAGGGCGGGCGCCCAACACGCCCCATTCGGACACTGCACATTGGCCGCCGATGATGAGTCGAAAATGGGCAGAAGTGCACGAGCGGAGAGGTCAGCGAGAATGCATAGCGCAGTGCCGCAAATGATGGCGCGGTGGCGAACGTTGGGGCGGCAGTGCCCTGTACCGAGTGGCTTGACCCAAAATGTCTACGGAGGAGGACCCGGGTAAACCCAAGACGCATCAACGACGTTGCAGTTCACCCGCCCTCAAAATGTCCATTCCCGAGGGTCTCTACAAGAATGCGTTTTCATTGCGGGAAGTGCCCCATTAGAAGACACTCGTCTGAGAATCCCCACTCACGCAAAAACACCGTTCCTGGGATTTCAGCACCGCGAGTCAACGTGGCTGTTGCGTCTTGACAATCCTGACTCGTGCCAGGACACCACGGATGGAACTTCAACGCCGCGAATCAACGTGACTGTTACATCCTAGAACGTCCACCATGCGAATCCATGAAATGGTTGCAAACTATCAAAACGAGTGCTCGCGGCGCTACTGCGAGAGCCACGTTTCAAGAGGAGACGCCCTCCATCGTTGAAACTGCTGCAAGCATCTAAGGCGAGTGTGCGCGGCGCCAATGCGAGAGCGGCGCGTTGAAACGTGCCCGCCCTCCATCTCTAAAACTGCCGCAGACTGTCGCGACGACCGCGCGCGGGGCAGAGGCGGGAGGCACATACAGTCATCGGCCTGACCTAGGGAACGGTAAATAAGGAACGAAGCTCCTTTTCTTATCCCAAGGAATAACACATAAGGAACGATAAATAACAAATAACGCATAAGGAATTGTAAATAGCGCGTACAAACCTAAGGAACGACCGAGCCCCTTTTGAAAAGTAAGTGTACCTTATTCAAGCCGCTCACTGTATTGAAAGCGGCCCGCCCTCCACCCGTACGCGGCGGCAATGCCAGCGCCACGCTCTGGAACCGATATGTGCCCTCCATCCGCGAGGCCGCTGCAAATCTGAAGCGCCAAGCTCAGACATCGCAGGGAGGTCCCCAGCGAAACGCCCGGCCCGCCGTGCGACGGGGGGGCGATGTTGAAGGGGCCCTGGGGCACACTAAAATAAATACACACAAATAGAAAGCTTCCCCATATTTTCCCATATTTTCTGGGTTTCTGTCTTCCCAAACCACTGCCCATCTTTTCCCATATGTTCTGGGGAGTCGACGACTAATTGTGTCTGTGTGTTTTTTCGCCTCCTGAGATGTGTATGTGGAAAGGGGGCGGAGGAGGAGAAGGGGGGTGAGGCTGCGCATGGCAGGTGGCAGTGGCGCCACCCGCCCCTGCCCGAGCGGGGCCCTCCAGGCTGGCTTCCACAGGAGGCTGGCCCACGATTGCCGAACGCGACGGCCTGGATGCGGGACGCCCCCGCAGAGCCGCTGGGTCCCCCATGGCCGCGGGCGGCGACAGGAGAGGAAAAGTGCGGAGGAGGAGCACAGCATAGAGAGGGGGGAGGTCATCCTCATCCCAAGAGGGCAGCCGGTCCTTGCCTGCCGCACATCTCGACGGGCAGGCTGTAGATGCCGAGCGCCGCCACGGGGGC